TGCAGCACTAAGGCTCTTAGTATGGGATCTTGTATAAGTTAGACATCAGAGTGTAAACCCAATTTTCATATGTAGTCAAACTGATTAATCTTTCATTTTATGCTTTTGAGCTTGTTGTAATTCAGGGAAAGTTTTATTTTTCCAATTCTGAGGCTCTTAAAAATTCTCTAGTCATTTCTTTTTTACTGTCATGAATTCATTGTCTCCAAATAAATGTTTGAACTTTGGGGAATTCATGCTGTATAGTATTTGAGGTTTTGATTCAATGGTTCTTCAACCAATACCTGTTTATAAAAGCCCTTTCATTACATGAAGGTACAAGTTATTCTTTAATTTCAGAGGAACTATGATATGCCATTTTATTGAGTGCTAGCTAAAAGTTTATTTTATTTTATTTAGGTTTCTCACCCTCGTGAAAATGGCGATGATCTCTTTCATGAAAATTGCATGTTGAAAAAGGAAATTGCAATGCTAGAACTGGAAATAGACACACTAACACATCAACACCAGGAGAAGGAAAATAAATACTTTGAGGACATTAAGATTTTACAAGAAAAGAATGCTGACCTTCAAATGACCCTAAAACTGAAAGAGAAAACATTAACAAAAAGGGCATCTCAGTATAGTGGGCAGCTTAAAGTTCTGACAGCAGAGAACACAATGCTGACTTCTAAATTGAAGGAAAAACAAGACAAAGAAATACTGGAGACAGAAATTGAATCATACCATCCTAGACTGGCTTCTGCTTTGCAAGACTATGATCAAAGTGTGACATCAAGAAAAAAACAAGAACTTGCTTTCCACAGTGCAGGAGATACTCATTTGCAAGGAAAAATGAATGTTGATGTGCGTAATACAATATGTAACAATGAGATGCTCCATCAACCACTTTGTGAAGCTCAAAGGAAATCCAAAAGCCTAAAATTTAATCTCAATTATGCAGGAGATGCTCTAAGAGAAAATACATTGGTTTCAGAACATGCACAAAGAGACTGTCGTGAAACACAGTGTCAAATGAAGAAAGTTGAACACATGTATCAAAACAAACAAGATAATGTGGACAAACACACTGAACAGCAGCAGTCTCTGGAGCAGAAATTATTTCAACTACAAAGCAAAAATCTGTGGCTTCGACAGCAATTAGTTCATGCACGTAAGAAAGCTAACCAAAGCAAGATAACAATTAATATTCATTTTCTTGAGATGAAAATGCAACATCATCTCCTAAAAGAGAAAAATGAGGAGGATTTAATTACGGTAACCATTTAAAAGAATGTACAGATCAATGTGAAAAAGAGAAAGCAGAAACAGAAGTAAGTATCAAAAAATGTAAATACTTTTCAACCTTCCTGAAAGAAAATGGCCTTGGCTAAATGCTGAATCTAGTTGCTGAATCTATATATATATATATATAGATAGATAGATAGATAGATAGATAGATAGATATGTATAAATAGATGATAAATGTACTTACTATATCAGCTTAGAAACATGCCTCATTTCCACCAAATGAAAGTGAAAGCTGAGAGACGTTTTACTTTGAGTAAAGACATTGTGTCACTGATGAACTTTTAAGAGTTTAAGTTAAAGATTTTTAATAGATTAACATTAATGACATTGGTTTATACTGCTGAAATAAAGGTTTTAATGTCTCTTTGTGGCCACATTTTATGACCACAATGAAACAGATAAATGGGAATGCCCATATCAGCAATTAGTATTTTGAAATTAAGATTCAATTCAGCAATTTACTTTGACAGTTAATTCTAAATTTTCCAGAGGAATTGAAGTGTATTTGAATTATATTTTGAAGTGTACATTTCTGCGTCTTGTAATAATACTTTTTAGTATCTTTTTATATATTTTAGTTGGTAGAACTTTATTTTCATTTATGTCAATTTGACTTAATCTGAACATATTTGAATCTCGAATTATGTATTGTTATAACCTCTCAATTTTTTAAAGGCATCTGCGTTTTGTTAAATAATACCTTAGGACAAATGTAGTGAATTTTACAATATCAAATTTGATTTAATCACCCCGCTGGTATTTATAA